ATTAAACAAACAAACAGACTTACTGGGTGAGCAGGGTAGGTTATGACAGCTGTCATATCATACCCTGCCATGCCCAGCTGATGCAAAGAATAGAATTTATATCTACACAGAAGAAAGCCCTGTCTAGACTCTGCCCCGGAATGAGTTGTGTCGAGCTATTCATTAGCCTGTTTGTTTGATGAAAAAAGATTAAATGTAGTTGCAATAAATGCGTTAAGAATCCATACAACTGCAGCAGTGGAGGACTATTATTCTGCTGCATGATACTGCAGAAGAACTGATGATGGCACGGTTTGATCTTCGGCTGACCAATCAGCAGAAAGGGGCGTTTAATTCCCGCCCACATGTAGAAATCGAATATTCAAGCTGTTTATTCATTTTTCCACCCATGAACGAAAAATTAAAACTTAAGCTGAATTCTCGTTTTTCGTTTTTTTCCCAAAAAAACGAAAAAGGATCTGTTTTCTCATTTTTCTACTTTCAATATTAAATCAAAAAACGAATGATCGAATGATACACGGATTAACATAGCCTACCTGAAACCGTTTTCATAACATTTGAATTTTCCGCTGTATGCAATCTCATACAGAATACAGCGCATTGAAGTGAGCGAGTTTTTTATCATTAATAATGTGGACCGATTGAGCCTTTTAATAATGACATTGCTCTGAGACCCTCACTGTTATTACAACTCATGCGCGCCCGCGCTTCAAAACACGCAACGCATGTTTTAAATCGCGAAATTAATTGCGATTCAAAAATCGCACTAAGGATATTGCAATTCGTAATTAATGTTGGTAGGCTATATCGTGAATTTAGCTGCAGCCAAGTGACTTTGTGCGACCCACCTTGTTCCACTCTGCGACCCACAGTTTGAAAACCCCTGCCCTAATTCCCCCCTACAACAGCCCTGTTCAGTCTTGACATACTTAAAGGGATAGTTCACCCAAAAATGAAAATTCTGTGATTAATTACTCACCCTCGTGATGTTCCAAACCCATAAGACCTTCGTTCATCATCTTCCATCATATTTTTGTCACTTTGGACGCGCGTTCACGACAGTATCATGATGCGAGCATGTGGTGGCGCTGACCCAGATCTGGTGTAATGACGTCATCACGCCGGATCTGGGTCAGCAA